CTGGATTACCTTATATATTTGAGTTTATTTAAATAATTGGAGAATATAAGAAAAACATTAAAATGAGTTTGTTGTAAAGTTTACCAATGATATTGGAGTTGACTAAATTATCTTCTGATGTCAATGACGATATGGGTGTATATGAGCAGATTTCCAAAACCTTTAACTTTTGATAATGAAAAAAACAATAAAAAATAATAGGTACACTATTTCTACACCTCCAAAATAGTTTTAAAATGTATAAAATATCAGAAAATAATCGTGAACATCGAAAATTTTGATGCCCTTATAAGTATAAACAAAAAATTAAAATTTTTGAACTAATTTTTCTAGGTTTATGAACATTTCATTAAAAATCATAAAAACGACAAAAGTATAATTTATTTAATAGACATATAAACTTATTGAACCTATTTTTCTTTTATTCAGCAATTTTTTCTCCCTAATAATTTCATCCATATTCACCTTTCATTTTTCATCAAAAATTATTAGTATAATAAATGAATTGAAAAACTTTAATATTAAGTTAAACTGTTATAAAATGTATAAAAAGGCTTACTTTAATTATTTTCAGTCAAAAAATATCTTCAATTAGTAAAACATAGGGAAAAAACAAAGTTCTGATATGTTAAATTCAATTAATTAATCCTGAGGTTACGGTTTGACAGGGTTACGGTCTGGACAACCTAGAGAATAGATCGAAAACTTTACTCAGATGCAACGCAATGCGATGCACACAGCACAGAAAATAAATTAGGCAATGACAAACGTGTGATCAAAATTAGTGTGATTAATTAGAAAAATTAGCTCAAAAATTTAAATTTTTTGTTTCTACTTATAAGGGCATCAAAATTTTCGATGTTCACGATTATTTTCTGATATTTTATACATTTTCAAACAATTCTGGAGGTGTAAAAATAGTGTGCCTATTATTTTTTATTATTTTTTTTATTATCGAAAGTTAAAGGTTTTAGAGATCTGCCCACACATTAAGAATAAGATAAATCTTTCCTTCCACTAACGTGAAAGACTTTGAGCCAAATAGTGATTATTATCCCTTTATTCAAAGAAAAAATTTCGGATAAGCACTTTAAAAATTTCCTGAATTTTTCCCAGATGACAGTACGACACGTGGGGACATCTTATTGTTTATTTGTTATTTGTGGTGTTTTTCATCAAAAACGCTTCTCTGGAAAATTCGAAAAAAGTGGCTTGTCTTTATACTATTTTAAACCTTCGATTATATTAAATCAATTAGAAAAAAATACAAATAAAATTACAGAAAAATGAAACAATTGAATTGACAGAGTATTTACAGAATCAGTATTTTTGTAAGAGTAAGACGGGTGATACTACTCTTCGAGGTAAGGAATAATTAACTCATTCTGAAAAAGCGGACCTCATCGAATCTCTCAGACTTTTCTTTTTAACGCACATCAAATATTTAGAGTTCAAGTCGACTGTACAAAAGATATCGAAGAAAATAGCACCTCTGACAAAATGTCTCCTCTGTCATTCACAAAATGGCACCTCTGTCATTCCTCCGTCGGTATAAACTGTGCAATGATGTTGCCGCTTTGAGCAGTTGCTGCGGGTTTTTACCGAATCTATAAATCATAGAGAGCAACTACTGTTATCGTTCATTCTTTTTACAAACATTATTGCAAATCCATGATGAAATTTCCATTTTTAATATTTTCTTCCTCTCAGAGTAGTCTCTATTTTCAATTTGATCGCCATGAAGATAAGTAGTATGATTCCCCTTATTGCGTACAAAGCAATTTAGATTTCGAAGCGATTACAAGACAAAAATTGTATATGAAAAGGATTGTATATGAAAGACGTCGAAGCAAAGGTCACACAGCTAACTTAGCAAGATTATACGTGCGAATGAGACATTGCTCAAGCTGAAACTGAATATGTCAGGAATTAAGAAGCAGTGCTCCCTGCAATAAACCATCTAGGTATCTCATTCTTAGTAAATGATATGGCCTTCCTTATAATTTTGTTTTCCTTAAATATTTTACTATTCCTATTTTCAAAATAAAATTTTTTCTTTCCACCTTTCAGTAAGTTCTAAATCTAAAAAATGGCAGCGTCACAAACATAACAAATAAACTAAAGTTAGCAAAATCCTATTTTTTCCGAATTGTTTTAACATCTTTTGCTTTCAGAGAAATAGTTTTTTTTCTAATATTTTGCAATATTTTTATTACTAAGAAATATATACTTTCCCTATTTAAAATTGGGGAAGAATAATGCAGCAGCGGCAGAAAACACTAGAAAATTTATCAAAACTACAAGTATGGAATGGTAAGGACTGAAACGAATTACCAACTTCTATTATGTATTCCGTTAGTAAGAGTGTCCACATGCCACTTCATTCCATTTTTCTTTTCTTTGTCAAAGTTTTCTCGCGAGATTCACTTGCTATTCAGACCATATCTATCAAAGACTTACTCAATACGTGACAAAGAAACTATTTTCTAGACTTTGACCTTCTTTCAGTCTAAAAAGAGTTCTTTTGGGAGTGAACCTCTTAAAAATGAAAACTTTCGAAAGAACGTCTTACACGTGGTGTCCAAATTCAATAGGATGTTTCTTTTTGCCTTTGGGAGTAATTCATTTATTCAATGAAGCGATTCAAATTAATATAAATAATGCTTGAATTAAAACAGAGTAGATTTGTTTTATTATTTTAAAATGCTGAGTGCAAAAAATAATCCACATGAATAATTTTTGATATGATGATCAGAATTGCACCTACTAGGCAGGATTTCACTAATTCAAGGGTCTACCTTAAAATATGTTAATTAATTAGTGCAGATGATATTTAAAATTATGAAATCAGCTACAATTTTCGTACAAATTGTTTTCGATCGATTAATTTTTCGACCCTCAAAATATGGGGTTTGCTCAATCTGGAAAATATGGTCCGATAGTTTCGGTAGAAAAGTAGTTATAAATGGACCTCTTATTGCAAATAAATTTTTTTTTCATATTTCGCACTATATTTCGGGAATTTTTGAAGCGAATCGAAACAAATTTGCAAACAATTACGAATTCATGATGACAAATGGACAATGGAGGGTACAAAATTTAATTCATGAATCAAAAAAATAATTCCATACTAAAAATATATTTTCAATATTGAATTTTTAGTTTATTTTATTTAAAAATATTAAAAAAATTTTAATATTAAGGCATACAAATGTTTACAGACTTTTACTGTATGTAGTTTCAAATGACAAAGTAAAAAATTCAAATGAAATCGATCGAACTGTTCTAGAGAAATCAAATTTTAAAAATACACCTTTTTAAATTTTGAACTCAGAAACTATTTAACAAATACATTTCACGTTTTGCACTTTTTTCATTTTTATGAAACATTATTAAAATTATGTAAAGATTTGACTAGTATTAAAGAAACTAGTATTAAAGAAAATAACGAAAATTGTTAAATGATAAATAAAAGAAAATATTTTTAAATAAAATTTATCTTTGGATAAACAAATCTCATAATTTTGGGAAAAAATTTTCAATTCACCTACGAAGTTCTCTAGATATCGTGAAATACGCACGAAGAGAAAAAAAAGTTTAAAGGGCTCAAATATTTGATTGCTCTTCTGCTTAAAATATTAGCACCATATTTTTATCATTACAGTTACCCAACTTATTTTGAGTACTAAAAACATTATTTTGAGGGTCAAGAATCCGCTATAATTTCATGCCTGTAGTTTGATATAGAAAAATATTTCTTCATGTAAAATTAAATTTTAACTGAATAATGAAAATGCATGTTTTATTTATTATTTTGAAAATGAAAATCGATGGTATTACTATGTTCATGTGCAACAACTATTAAACATAACATTCATTTATAATATATGACATTCATTATATATATATATAAATATATATAACGTCGTTGCCGAGTGGAAGGATTAAAACAGGTCATAGGTCGGGAAGGAGGGTACAAAATTTATTTATTAAATATTAGACAAGAGCAGTCATGCGAGTGACTGAAAGTGCACATGAAAAGTTGCGCTCCTTGGTTATATGTTAGGGAAAATCTTGCAAAGTAAAATCCGTAAAATGTCTTAATTTCGGGAAAGAGGGAAATCTTAGTAGTTGCTATTGGTTTATGAAATAGATCGAGCGTTTCCCACACAGAGCAAAGGGAAAAATGTCCTGCTTTTAATTAAATGCATACTTGAGCCAAAAATAGATTTAAGAACAGGATGTGACTTTTAAAAGTGTGAGAAAATATTTCGATTAGAATAATAATTAGGATAACATAAAAAGATTAATTGAAGCTTTTTATGTTACGTATATATATATATATATATTATATATATACCGAAGAGCCATTACATTATGACCACCCTCCATCTATAACAATGGGCTCGCCCAGGAACAATGTTTTCATGGGGCACATTAGGACCCATAATCCTTATAGAACAAACTCAGACGTCTGTAAACTACTTGAGCATAGTTGCAGACCAGGATCACCTATTCATGGCAACAGTTTTTCCGGCGGGGGATGGTGTTTACCAACAGGATAATGCACCATGTCATAAGGGTCGAATCATCATGGATTGGTTCGAGGAACATTCCAGTGACTTTCAAGTCATGTCTTGGCCCCCAAATTCACCTGCCCTTAATCCAATAGAGCATTTATGGTCCTACATGGAAAACCAAATTCATGCTGTCACGCTTACCCCTCGCAATGTGAGGGAATTGCGGGACCAGATGGTGAGCGCTTGGTACCAGATACCTTAAACTACCTATCAGCACCTTGTGGAATCAATGCCACGGCGGGTGCTAGCAGTTTTGAGGGCTAAAGGTGGTCCTACATGTTATTAGCAGGGTGGTCATAATGAAATGACTCTTCGGTGTATATGTATACAATAGTTATGTAAAAGAGGAAAATATGTGTATTTCTTACATTGTAAAATAATAGAAATTAAAAATAAAAAAATACAAAATTCTCTTTTTAGATGCTCCTGTATTCGCGATACCTGAGAAGGTTGTTGAAATGATTGAAGGTCGATCTGGTGAAGTGAACATGACGGCCAAAGCTTATCCCGAAGTACACACTTATAAATGGAGTAAAAACGGAGTATTTGTCCCTCGCTGGGCGAAGGACTACAGAGAATCTCCTGTAGTCACTGCAAATGGAGCTGTTCTGTATTTCAACCACGTATCTAGGCATGATTCTGGAGCATATACATGCATTGCTCAAAATGTTGAAGGTTCCACCAGTGCAACATTAACTTTGAACGTTTTGTGTAAGTTCATTAATTATAAAAATAAACAATTAAACTAAACAATTAATAATCTAATTGTAAAACATTCATAAAGACATTAAAAACGCTGTTAACTGTAAAGGTAACATTTTTTATCAGACAGTGAAAGAGGGAATCAGCCAATGTTCAATAGTATTTATCTGAAATGTAAATATGATTTGGTTTTACTCTAGAAAATGTAACCAAATAGAAACCAGTTGAGTGCCATTAATATAAGTGTTACTTTTTTCAATAGTAGTTGAAACTACGTTTGTCATTGCACGCGTAGTTGTTGCTACGTAATAACTACGTTGTTATTGCGTAGTATAGCTATAACTACGTAATAACAACGTAGTTACGTAGTATACGTAGTTATTGCTATGTAATAAATTCGTAATGGCTACGGAATAACTACGTAGTTACGTAGTATACGTAGTCATTGCCACGTGTGTTATTGCTAAGTAATTATTTGCAGCCATTTAAGAAACTGATTCAAACAAAAATAGTTATACAATAAAATATTTTAATACTTATTTATTAGAAACATTTAACTTAAAAATGAGAGATGTAAGCGTCAGTGTTTAAGCCATAAAAGTATTTTACAATTTTTTTAATCAGTTTTTTTCTTTTTAAAATTTTAGATCCAGCGTCAGTTACCAATGTAACTACAAATGTAGAAGTAGCAGAAGGAGATACAACTCAGCTAGAATGTACTGCTGAAGGAAAACCTTTGGATGAAAATGCAATTATTTGGATGCGTGAAGGATTGTCTTTAAAATCTTCTAGCACAGATATCGGACGATCTGTACTTATATTGAACAATGTTACAAGAAAGGATGGTGGTGTTGTGGAATGTGTGGCAAATAACAACGTAGGTCATCCCTCCAGAAGAAAAGCCCAAATCACAGTACTTTGTAAGTAGTACTTTTTCCAAATCAGAGTACTTTTTTATCATCTGCGTTTAATATTGCATAGAAATTCGGCAAACAGGAAGCTATGAAAAACAATTAATTTAATATTCACGAATAATAAATTTTATGCATGCTATGAAGTACACGTGTATTATTTTAACACTTTATTACTTGTCAAAATTTTAATGCTTTGCTATTTCTAAAAATGTAAACGTGTGCAAAATTTATGTTATTTTTTTATTTATTTTCAATGACTAATGTAGGACGCTTATAAGATGTTACGCCTTCGGAGCGATCGGTTCAAATGTACCATTTAACATGAAAAATTCCTCCTGTATGGAAAACCACAATTAAATTATTGTTTATCCAAGTTGAAAGTAATTTCACGCATGCTAAAATCACGATCGACGATACAAAATAAAATTGCTTGATATCTTGTATACATCGCGATACTTTGTCCGCAATTCACTCTCATATTTTGTTCTCTTCACCCGCTACACAAATAAGATGCATTAAAAATAGACTAAAAACTGAATTTTCAGCTTCAGAAAATAAACAGACACACCAATTAATTTCCGAACTTGAGTTATGTGACAATAAGCCATGCCATAGATAACGAAAGAGTTATGAATTAGGAGGTAAAAGTTTTAAAGTTGACATTTCAAAAAACTTGTGGTTTCAAGGACTCCCGCCTGAACTGCAATCTATGTCGGCTATTAGTTCCAAATCTCTGGATAACTTAGACAAATTGACCGACAAGATTTCAGAATTACGTACTTACCCCGCAAACAAAGATTTTTTTCGATTAAACAATCCAATCCTGGAACTTCACAACGAGTTTCCTCATACGATGATATCGGTGAACTATGGAGCGAAATTCCAGCATTAAGTAGCGTTCTATAGATATTATCGTGTGAGCGCTTTTGGGATCCTTTACGTTCGCAACCAAAACAAATCGCCTCACCAGCACCGAACACCTACAAGACCTTTCTCACTTACAAGGTCTACAAGACTTTATTACAGATTGTTGACTAGAATTCACAACAACTCAATTGTTTCCCTTTAAAAGCTTAGCTAAACAGAAAAGGAAGTACAGTGGTTGCTATCGCGAATTGTTTGCCACATATAGTGCTATTAAGCACTTCTGGCATTTATTTCAAGCAAAAGATTTTTCACTTTTTACCGATCATAAACCATTAGCATACGCTTTTCAAAAGCGCTCTGATAAATGCTATCTACGGCAGTGTAGGAAATTAGACTTTATTTCCCAATACATTACTGACATCCGCTATTTAAAGGATTCAAAAAACATAACTGTCGATTCACTAATAAATGTGATAATCATGCCAAACGTTATAGATTCTGAGAAAATTGCACCAGCACAACAGGCTGATTCGGAGCTTAAATATTTATTGGAAAACTTTGAGATTTTAAAGTTTAAAGCGATCTCCATATTAGGCTGTAAGCATTCTGTTTATTGTGACTTATTGACAAGTACTGTTCAATTTTACATGCCTGCAACGTTTCGTGAAAATATTTTCACAACTTTACATAGTGTATAACATACTGGGGTTCAGGTACTATTAAATTAATTCGATCTAGGTTTGTAAGGTATTCTTTAAGATAATATTGAGCAAAATAGACATATCTCATATTAAAAGTAAAACTTTTCTCGACACTGGAAGCCACTCGACACGTAAGTAAATTTTCTTACCAATTACAGAGATTCCATTAAGTTCATCTCGACCTTTTAGACCCCCTTCCACCATCAAACGGAAATTCTTATTGTTTAACGAGGAAATTCAGGTATACAAAGTGGCCAGAATCCTAAACAATCTCAGACTGCCCCCAAAATTTTCCAATCATTAAATTTCAAGACTTAGTTGTCCTGCCTATAGTACTGCAGATCAGGGCAGGAAAGTTATCTATTTAAATCTCTTTCACAACATCTGGGAATCCGGTAGATTTGAACTTCACCTTACCACTCACATGCAAATTGTTCACATCACAAAAACTCACATACTGATTGAAAAATGCTGATTCCTATCCTTAAAAGCAGCTCATGATACTGAGCAATGGTCAGTAGCTCTAACAACATAGATGCTGAGAATCCGGACACTCATTAAAAATGACTTGAAGGCAGCGACTGCAAATTTAGAGTATTGAAAGGTGTTCCGATTTACAGGGAAGCTTTATAACCCCTCACCTGCAGAGCCATTACCTACACAATTGATAGAGGACATGAAATCTTATTTTGAGAAGGTGCTCCTGTGCCAGCGTGAAGGCATGGGTAGAAAACCATTCTTCTGTACTCTCATCTAAAATACTACATTCATGTCTTTGTTTGAAATGATGGGGTTCGAAGGCCGCTCCAAGCTCCATACGATGGTTCATTTAAGGTTCTAACAAATGTATCGACATAAAGTGTTGAAAGGGCTAAACAGACATTTATAGACAGATTGAAACCAGGCTACTTTACCAGTCGCATTCTCACCCGCTCTTCTCTAGCTATCCCAATGACCACTGAAAAAACTGCTCTGACTGTATCCATATGTATCTAAAACTACTATCTGTATCTAAAACTACTGTAACTGTATCTTAAACTACAGAAACTGTATCTAAAACTACTAACGAACAGACTGTTTAAACTTATAAAACAACTCGTGGTAAACATATCAAGCCTCCTCAGCGTTATGCGTATTTCTAGAAACACTGCAGGGGGAGTGTGTGGCAATCCAACCCGTCGTTACAGTGATAAAGCATAGCTCATGTGTTGTTTAGGTGTATACATATGTTTTGGGGGTCTATAAGAACACATGCTAGGTAAATGCTTATGTGCGTACATTTTCGTTACATACGTTCTTACTAACGTTATATATAAATACGAACAAAATGTATCATTATGCTATACATTATAAAATGCGTATTGTATAATAAATTATGCATGTAGTTGACAATCTTACTTACTTGTAAGCATCTTATATGTAATTAAATACTTTGATTATCTGTTATCACAATTCCAGTAGTAATCAAAAGTATGCAAAATTGATTGTCACGATTACAAGTAATTCATTTTTGTAATCACGATTACTGTTGTGATCAAAATTAGGATATGTTATTACTGTAAGGATAATTAATTACTGCAATAAAAAAATGTAATATATTAAATTTTTGCCTAACTCTGCTGTGAAGCAGCATAAATTGTTACACAACAGGAAGAAGTAAATAGATAATCACTCTAATTACGAAAGAATTTTATATCTTAAAGTAAATTAGTTTCGTTTGATTAATAGTAAATATTCGTTATTAATTTCGTCACACAAAAGTTTATTCTGTATATCCATTAAACAAAAAAAGTTACAAAAGACTGACTTTACTTGTTATTTAATGTATACATTTTACTCTTTAATTACTTTAGTTAAACAACTTTTCATTCATGATAAGAGAAAAAAAAACTCATTAGTTTCTATTATAAATTGTTAGTAAAAAATGAAATACATGACCAAAATTATCCTTTGTGTCTTAAAGCATCAGTGGACGCCATGTAGTCGGTGACAAAGTTATGTTCTCAACAAATCACTTATTTCGAGTTTTTTTTTTCTTCTTCTCTACCGGAATTCCAAGGTCACAATTTCATTCATTTTCAGTTCGACGTGGCGCCAAGACGTTAGTTTGCTTTTCGCTCTTTATGGCATGTCAGTAATATTTTCTTGTTTTTATAATTTATATTATACATTGAATGGCTTTGGAGAAACAGCATGTATTGAAATAAGATCCTAAAATACTAACACAAGACATTAATAATAAACGTGTGTTTCATTTTTTCCCCTTTTTTTGACAAATAGAATCAAGTAATAAAAAAATAATATTAGCCTTTACTTAAAAATCCAACTTGAATCAATATAAGTTATTTCCCAGTTAAATGATAAAAGGTCACTTAGCCAGGAATGTATTTTTCTAAAATTTGTTATTGCAAAGAATATTGCAAAGAATATACATAGAAATTGTGTTTCATATGATGAATACATTTTCTCTATGACATAAATCGAAATCATGTTAATTAAAAGGAAATAAATTAAAATCTCCAATATTTTTGCCCACCATTTTATTTTATTTCATTAAAAACATATTGACGTTTCAAAATATTTCAATACTGTCGCTAGTATATGTGAATATATATTAAACCATACAACTTTATTTTTCATAACTTGATATTTTTTAATTGATAACCAAAAACAACACGTTTGTGTACCAGGTTTTATACTTGTTTTTGCATCAAAGTCTCTTGATATACAGTTTCACTAACCTCCTCAATAATTACTCCAAACAACATAAAATCCCAATTCCTCGTTTTATTCCCCATGAAAACTGCGATATAAAATAAATTCAACAGTGCACGTTATGCTTCCAGCAAAGTAAAAATCACATGTAAAATAAACAAATTAGAAGATGCTTATGCTATTTATTATAGAATCAAAATTTTTAAAATTACCATGCATTCACATGGTCCAACAAGATGAATATTCTAATCGGTATTAGAGATACGTCCTAGAAGGCAGTGTGTTCTTTTTCATGTTCAAAACTGTTTCTGGTAATTTTAAACTTTAGAATAGAGAAGAGTAGATATAATATTTGAAGAATTAAACCATTCCTTCATGGAGACGGTGATAAGACGTAGTTCAAGATCAGGGTCCTGATGTCATAATTAAAAAGATATCTTTAATCATAACTACAAGGTTAAACAATTGAAATGTGCCACAATTGAATTTCACAATTCTTGCATCAGATTGATAATGATCTAGTTGATAACCATTTGCAAAACTTAATCTGAACAATCATTCAAAAAAATGAAATGTTGATTAATATATTAGTACAAGAATTTTACTGTTGAATAACCAATTCGATAATTTTCAACTACTCTTTTGAAAGAGTAGTACATTTATGTTTTAATCTGAATAAATATAATAAATGGTACTAAAATCATTACTACGCTTGTTCAACAT